TCCAACTAGTTTTATCGGAAGCCTCGAAGATAAAGGTAAAACTGTACTGTTTGTCATCATCCCAGCCCCTCCGCCCCACAGATATCCGTTAATGCAGATGCAGTTGACAAGTGTTGGCTGGATGTGTGTGAGGCTCGTCTCTTCCTGTCAAGTTCTCCATCGGATACTATTCGTTCGTTGGCCGAAATGACCACGGCCTTGCTGAAAACATTCAATGTGGTGGATCGTGTTGGAATTGCTAGAAGACTACTTGATGAGTTCGACACAAACCATGCTCTGAAACAAATCATTTATGATGCGGAATACGTGGTTGTGTCCGATGTGTTACCCTGGTTTGAGGTTTAGTTATCTTCTTTTTCTGATGTTCCATTCGGTGTCTCTTGCAGTATACTGCATTGAAACAGCTCGTGCTGTTTGGCGTTCCAAATATTGCATTTCCGCGCTCGAGTGCATCGAGGTCAAACTTCTTCCATTTCAGACAATGTCATTCATGCAGTTCATTGAGCTACAAGGTAATGTTATCTTGTCTGACGGTCAGCCATCACGGTCTAATTTGTTCGCGTAGAAGTATCCTGTGAAAGATGTATTTTTGGGTTATCTGGGCCTCGCAGTAAACATTAAAGATTCCATTCGGTTGTTACGTTGTCTCAATCGACCCAAAAGAGGCCTAGATTCGGCTTCGTTCGCGGCGTTGCGACATGTAGCTGAGAAGGATAATATATCTGCCGGCCAGGTAAGCATTACAATCCCGTTTTGTCATGCTACTGAAACAATCGCCCCTTACAGTATATCTGATAGGTGGTAGGCAGCTCTGCTGTCGTCCGTTTCAATACCACACCTAACCTATCGGGGCCTAATGTGGTTGACCACTCCAAGTCCCGGGGCTTAGGTTGCCGGTTTCCACCACTAAAAACAGCAGGTCCGCGTGACTATGGGGTTCGCCTCGTCTGTTGTTTATCACACTTAGGTGTGCAATAAAAATATCCTTTGATAAGATGGTTTCTTGGGTCTTGACTTGTGCGCCCCCTGGTGTGTGGTTTCATATTGACAATAATCGCAGCAGTGGTACTTCTAGATGCCCAAAAATTGTTTCTGTCTTGTTTAGTTTGCACAATCATATTGATTTAGCATTTGGGTGCAACAGTTTAGGTTACTGTTTTCTGGATGTCCATTTTCTAGATCAGTGAAGGGTAAGTGAGCGATAGGGTTGGTAAGCTGAGAGCAATGGTAAGAATATAATGCAGAATGTCAAGAAAGATGTGTCTGAAATGGACAGATGCACGAATGTCACCGATTACAATCTCTTATTGTATCATTCATTGTTTCCAGCCAATGATTAGGTTGGTCACAATATTTAAGAAACCGAATACAACTGGTGTGGTCCCAACCCCTCCGTTTCATGTTATTATTGTTGTGTTGGCACCAAGCTTACTCGCAAGCTGGTGATAAATGATATCCTTATGTGAATGAAATTGAGAACCATCCAACCCGATCATGTCGCAGCATTTTATGGTTTGACGGTGCATTAATACTCAAACCGTCTGGGAAAGCTTGCGTCTTCCCTCGGGTGGTTGTGGCGCAGTGGTTTAGTCTCTGTCACCGGCGTGCTTTGGATCTTATGTTCCAAGGTTTGAGCCCCGCCACCGCCATCCAACTTTGGTGGTAGGTAGCATTGCTGTCGTCCGGTTCGATAACAAGCCTAACCTAGAGGGTCCGCCACTCCAAGTCCCGGAGCCTAGATTAACAGTTTCCATCAGTGGACGTCAGGTCCTCGTGGCTATGGGGTTTACCTCGTCTGCTGTTCATCACAGTAAAACTGTGTAATAAAAAAATTAAAAGAAATCTTTTCCAGGTCTCTACTGTGCAGTAAAATATAATCTGCGTTCTCTGCCTGGGGGCATTTTGCTACCACAATCATTGCACGTGGACGGATACTTTCGACCAAGGGACTGAGAATTGTCATTTGCATAGTATTTGTTGACAGGAAACATGCCAACTCATTGACGTTTGTTGATACATCAGTTTTAACGTGTCCCTTATCGGTGAAAACACAAAAGTTGACTTGGTCTCCATGAAATTCCGTGATTGTTTGGGCGCTTTTCATGTTTGAAGCTTCTCCGTTTCAAGGAGAGAAAAAATCATATAAGAAATCATCTAATCAGCATTTCGTTTGATTGAATGTATTTTCCACAGCGCTGAGCTTTTGTTTCGTCTTTGTACGTACTTATCAGCATTGCGTTTCACAACGCATTGCACAGGTTCTAGTGCTTGCGAGTTGGCCTGGAAAATTCAAGAAATAAAAACATGAATTTCATCTAACCGTGCAACTCAGAGGTAAGGGTTTCGACCACCAACCGAAAGCTTTACGTTTTGAGTGTTGGTGGAGACAATTTTAATTAGTTTTCAATATCACACGTCAGATTTTAAACTTACTAAGAACGCATCGTATAACAATCGTTATAAAAAAACATTCAATGATTTGCTTTTTGGCGCGATAGTACCAGGTTGTCCAGGCCAAGGTGGGTGAACTTCCTGAAGGAATCCACAGCCTTCGGCTAGTCAACGCCTGATCCAAAAGGTGGTGGGAAAACACTTCCGCCACGTGCATGCAGTTTGTAAGGCTCTTTCAGAAGGGGCTATTTGAGACGCTTGGTCGTATGGGAGCATTTCGCGAGGGCCAGGTAAGGGTGATCATCCTGAGGATTTCAAAGGCGCAAACGCTACGCTTTGCTAATGATTCCCAACAAAACTGAAACACGTATCCAATGCTGGCTAGACTTTGTAGTTCAAAACGTATGCTGCTCCATGCCTAGTGACGGCGCCTTTCGCCTAGACGTTTCAATGCAGAATTAGTGTCCTTTTTACCAAATAACAGGGATTTTGCATCACATGGTGTCACATCACGTGTTCTCGTGTCATGACGTTCACTCATTTTCTGAAGCAACTGTTCTTTTCTGATTGTCATCCCAGTGGCTTGGAGATTCTCTTAAACGTTATGCGTTATGCGGTCGCATCCTTCGATTTTTTTTCCATTCAGGCTGCCATCTCCTTTGTTGGACGTCGGCAACTGGGCGCATCGTTTTACGCGCCAACTGCCTCACATCCTTTATATCCTTGGAGTTCCGGACTGGAGCATCTAGTTGAGTGCTTAAATAAGTGTCAAGACGCTCTAGCTGGTGATTCAGATGACCTTGTGTTGACCGTAGTCGCCCAGGATGACCAAATGGGTTTGAATGATGCACGCAAAGCGGTGGATTCTTGTCTGCTCGCAGTCGGTCGGTTTCTGAGGAAGCCTCACCGGAATGCATTAAATTCGCATGAAGAATCTGCGGACGATCCGCATTTCTCTGAGGCTAATATCAAACAGGCCTTGGGCAGCCTTCGTTCACGGTTGACACAACTGACGTCTTGTGATTGTGCCACATCCATATGTGGCGAAACACCCGGTCGTGTAAGTGGTTCATTTTTACTGCAGGCTAAAACTCAGTCCGAATATGTGTAATCCTCAGTTTCGTATTTGTCCATCTGGATTCATTTCTGCTGCCTGTTCCTGGCTAATGAAAAAGAGAGCAAAGATTATGTGGATGGTGAGATGTTTGTTGGTCACAATCTGGTTTATACTTCCGCGAACTCGATTATATAGGTATATGATATTTTTCATAAATACCCCAATCAATTTTTATACTGATCAGAATCATATACTACTGGCTACCAAACTATGTTGCACTTTCTGGAATCTGCTCAATGTCTTTCGAAACCCCGAGCGTTGCGATTTTGGAGGAGATTGACTACATGTCATTCAATCTGCTTTGCCAAAATAAATATTTTCTATATTTTGCATAACAAAATTACCTGTCTTAAATTGTGATGCTGTTACCGTTATCCATCTTGTGCATCACTGGATCAGGGGGCCACTGAAGTTTAACCGATCTAGCGCGCTTTTTGCCTTGCAGTCTGATTGGCGAATTTCTTCCGTATTGCGCTTCCTTTAGTTCTCAGGACAAACCACTTACCCTATTGGGTCATAGAACCAAACCGGAGAGCCTCCACAGTTATCGCCGTCGCAATAAGTTGGATCTCCCCCGGAGATCGATGTCCTAGTCCGAATACGCAGATACGTCCATCAATTAGTTTTTGTGTTTTAGTAGCAGTAAACAGAACCGAGAGTGTGAAGCGCAATCACCCGGTTCGTGCCTCTCATACCTCCAGCGCACAGGTTTCAGCCATATGATTTCAAGGCAAGTAGAGCACAGACCATTACGATTTATAGTCTGATCGTCGCTTTGGTGCCAAAATGACGATGTAGCTTCCAGATTGGCTCAGGCCCATCAAACTCAAAGACTGCAAAACTGAAGTCAAACATTGCGTAACATTTTTGCAGCAGCGGATCAACGTTAGCCTGAAATGAGGGCTCGAGTGGGTCCTAATCATGACGATTGTAGAACAGAACTGAAACAAACGTTTCAGATTAGGGTTTGTGTGACTACAGTGAAAGGGGATGTGACGTTACTGAATCAGTCCGAATGACTTGTGATACTGTTCTTCTTTTGGGCATAGAAACACGGATACTGATTCACTCATTGCAGGTGTCAGTCAGCGCATGACGCATACAAAGTGCAGATTTTCCATTCCCTTGGATCACGTGATCGCTTGTTTGTCGGACGCGAATGCCTCGTACTCCATTTTACAGGATTTGCAAGTACCACGAGGCGCGAGTACCTTTTTCATCGAAGGTTTGACTACCAAATGTCGCTCGGTTCAATTTTATTAATTTTTCAATAATGAATTCAGCTAGTAGCCGCCGTAGCTCACAATTTAGTGACCAGAATAGTTAATCTTGTAAGGATGAAGACGGTCGCGAAATTGACCCATACTACAGCAAGTCCACTTCTGTCTGGAGGAGCAATTAGTCACGCAGACATGAACATGGGTTTCATGCTTGCAGAAGTTATTACAATACAATGCAATATAATACAATCATGCAACTAATTCAACGCAGATGCATTCAGAAGCGCTTGCAACAAACACGTGACCGTCGGAAATCAGAGAATGACAATGATTATTTTAGACTCAGAGAACTACAAGTCAGCTCTCTTAAGAGGTCACCACCGTTGTATTCCCGACGGTGAGTATTGTGCCACGGAACTGGGTAACTGGAGCTCGTTTACTTTCAACGAGTGAATAAGGACCCGATGTGATACTGCGATGTAAAATCACCTTAGCTTGCGAAAAGCGTGTATATTTTGTTAGCTTAAATATTCCCACCGATCTACAGCGCTCGGACGAGATGAAGACTTTCAAGCAAATTAGAGAAACATTCTGGGCACTGCTTTCAACATTCCTCTGTCTCCTCTTCTATTTCATCCAAGTGGGAAGTCGAAATGAAGCAACCAAAAACTACCACACAAGAGTGCATGGCTCATTACCGCCGCCTAATCTTAGTCTACCCGACATTGCTTGTTTGGCTGACGCACCACAATTGGTGTTTAAACACCTCTAGGTAACAGCCGGTATCTGCACTATCCTGCTGCAGAGGCTCAAAGTTTTACAAACAGATGTTACGGAGACATCGTGAATGTGTCCAAATGTGCCGCATGCCTTCTGACAACTCTTGTTTCGGAATTTTTCAACCACAGATTAGGTATATCGAGTTCCGAACCGGAGTTTGAAAGACCCCCTTAACTGGTTCTTTTGAGCGAATAGAAAACCAACTGCAATGACATCACTCATCTATGAGCCTGATGTCTGAAGATCTACGCTTGTCTGTCTGTGTGCACAGTTGAATGGTGTATAGACTCCGAGATCTTCCAATTGCTCCACCTCATGTTCGCACCTTCAAGCAGATCCATTTTAAATTTTCTGTCTCACTCGATTGCCGTTATACCACAGTTTGTCTCGGGATAATGTTTAAAATGTTCCACACACTTTCGGTCAGCATACAACGGCCTGTATTTCTTCGGACATCGTAAAAATGCAACCACTTTGTGTCCAAATGTCTTAAACAACGTGGCCAGATCGTGACCTTCACCTTGTCGGATGGCGTAAATTGCGCGGTCGTGTACTTTTCGTCAATGCACTGTAAAAGGTTGATGTGAATCCTGTTCGTGCGAATCACATGACGTGTTTCACGTGTGCGAATAAGGTAGTGTACGAAGCCAGTCGTTTGTTCCGTTGTCGCGTGTTCATCGAAATGAGAATTTGTTCGCTGTTAGTGTTGCCGCTGCTGTAACACAAAACTAGTTGGCAGCTTCAGTTTTGACAACCGTTGACCATTCACTTGCGAGTGACGGTTTTGTTTGCCGCCTGGTGGCTGCCTCGTTGGATGATAACGCAAAAGGAAGATTAGAATGTTGCGATCACAGTCACATTGGACTAAGGTTGCAATGATGATGAGTAGATGCACAAGCACCACCGTTTGCGACACATTAGTCATATCATTCAGTGTACCTAACCGTCGGTGACGATGATCCTGACGCGACCTATATGACCGAGTCTCCTGGTTTTGCATGCCCTCAGCAAGCACGAAACGGCTGTCCGGCGCATTTTGTCGTACATCGCGGATGAACTTATCCACACTGGTAAATGCTAAACGGCAGCTGTTTTCATTCGGCTTCCAGTACATAGTTTATGAAACTAGACTATGAATGTTCCATTGCACTTCTAGGTTGATCATGAAACCTGCGTCATGCGCAAAGCCAGATAGATTGTGTTATGTGGCACCATACGGAACAATACCATCAACGTACAGCGAAGTACAGTGAAGTGAACGTTGCTCATCTCTGTTAAGCTCTCAATGTACAAAAAAGTGAGTGAGAAAGTACAAGATGTAAGACGGGAGACACTCTACCTAACCGCTCTGTACTTTTCTTCATACCTCGTTTTCACGTCATCTATTGACCTCCACGTGGTTTCATTCGACCTGGAAGCGCAACTACGAATAATACGCGATGAAGCAGACGACTGCTGGACGTGCGCAATGTGTGTCCTAACCAGCGAAACCTACTTATCTGAATTCGGTGTGATAACGAATTTTCTACAAAATCATTACCAAACACTCGATGACTTACCTCGTAGCTGCTTACACGCTCGCTCCAAACTACGTAAACATCGGCAATCGAAGACGTCTAGACAACAAATATCTTGCATGCCCAAATTAAGAATTCTAAGAGACGACAGGGCCACCTCTAGTGGTCTCAGCAGCCATTCTCACCCATAATAAATTGTCTAGCGTCGAGCACTCATTTGAAATCTCTGTTCTTTTTTTTCCAGCCCCTCACCAGTGGGGGAAGTTTACTCGGTAGAGCAGCCAGAAAACTAGCTCGCTTGCTTCTGGTTGTTGAAGCAGACGCTTCAGTCGTCCCAATTCCATCAGTTTCGCACGAACAGCCCACCACTCCATCAGCCTTGCTTCCTAAAACGCCAAGTCGTGTTCCTCCAGTGGTAACTCCTCTAACAGTTGGTCACGACGAACAGGTGGTACGTATGTTTGATTCACCCTGCGCGCCAGTGAATCATACACCGACGAACCGGTGTCTCGAGGAAGAAAACATGGCTCCTTTTGCAATTTCGGCTGATTTGGATGAAGCAATATCCATGGTAAGTTAATCTTCACGCGTCCCTTCGAGCTAGTCGGAAAACAGTCTCACGCGTTTGTTTTCTTCATACGAAATAGGTGGAAAAAGATGGTCATAGAGAAATTTATCGATATTTCGCATCGGTTGGGCACTCATTGGATTATAATTCGTTTCGTTGGT